GAAGTGAAAACGAAGTACTTTTGGGTATTAAATATTTTTAAATACCTTTGAGACTATTTAGAGAGATTGAGAAATATTTTTGGAAGTATATCTAAAGTCAAGATAAAATTTACGTTTTCATAAGAGGTGAGCACCCGGGAGAAATCCGTGGTGTCGGTTTTCCACATCCGGATAAATGTGGAGGGTGATTAAGGCTGCTACTACTAAGAAGTACAGTTTGAGTTTGAAGTGACATTTGGATCTATGATCCCTTTTAAGAAGAAGTTATAGTAGTAGTAGTCCCTAATCATTCAAGAATTTTAAAGGTGGGGTAGTTGGTAGACTGAGTCCCGATTACTCGTGACAACTTACTACTCGGAGGGCTTGGAATCCCTTTTAGGGGGTGTGCACACTTAAGGTAGTCGTTTCGTTTCCATTAGCAGTTGTGGTACCGGCAAAAGTCCCGGGGTGGCCGTACATAACAACGTAACCACCGGGCTCAACCAGAGTGTTGAGCACCGCCCTTCTAAATTACTAGGAAGATAGAGAAGAAGTGAATTTTGAGAAATTCTAAGAGAAGAGTTACTATAGTATTTTCAAAGAAAAGTTGAGGACTTTATTAAAGAAGTGATTTTGAGAAATATCAAAGAGAAAAGAATTTTGGTGGAGTGTGTCATTTTTATATGGTATCATATGAAAAACTATTTTTCGCCAAACCTGATTATTTTACGGGGTTGGGTAGTACTTACTTAGCTCTAAAGCTAATTTTTGTTTCCTTTTCCCTGTTTTGTTTTCTGCACTTTATTTGTGCAGGTAATGATGCTTATGTGGATTGATGATTTGCATGGTCTTGAGAGCGGTTGAGATATGCCTTAGTCAAACCTAGTCAAGAATAAACAATCCAATTATGTTGAACACTTGTTTTACTTTGTTTGGTGATTGCCTGTGCATTCGGTTAAGAGATGACCGGATGTGGCGGTAACACCCATTTCCCAATTAATGTTATTTCCGCTGCAAAACTTTTTATCTGTTTTGAAAGAATAAATCAAGTTATTATCAATAAATCTATTATTTCAAGTATTATTTTGGGAGGGAAAATGGGGGTGTTACATGAATGGCCTTGATGTCTTGTTTCAATCTATTGTTTTCAGCGTTTAAGAGAACATGGTGATTTTGGACTTTCTGAAAGTCTTGTAGCAAAGATTCCAGTGTGATGTTGTTTGGTCCAGAATCACTAGAGCTATAGGAAGAGCAGGATGTTACCTCAACATCATTGTAGTGGTCCTTGGCCATTAAGCATTTGGGAGAGCAGCCTTCATAATTTTCACTTGAGCTGGTGGAAGGTTCACTGAGCCACCTGCTGCTCTCTTCAGCGAGCCAACTGTTGTCTTCTTCAGTCACCTGCCAGGATCCCAGGCATAGAAGTGCTTCCTCTGAGCTTTCAGATGAAGAGCTTTCATCACTTGAGCTGCTTTCATCTTCAGATTGGGGTTCCTCCCTTTTCTTTTCACTTACAAGGGCTTGACGTTTACCTTTGTAGTCCTTGTGTCCATTCTTTTGGGCAGTAGTCTGCTGCCCTTGATACTTGTGTGCCAATGGGAGAGGACACTCGTTTTTGTAGTGTCCTGGCTGTCTACAATTGTAGCATAGAATAGTATTCTCACCTGATTGGAATCTCCCTTGCTTTCTGGATAAGTTATTGAATGGCTTCTTTGTGGTAGATCCTTCCTTTTTCGTAAATCTTTTGAATTTTCTCACAAACATTGCAAATTGCTCATCAGTGAGAAGATTATTGAGTGATTTCTCAGTAGATCTTGATGTACTGGGTTCAGACACTAAAGCAAGTGTCTTTATTTCTTCTTCCTTCTCTTCTCTGATCTCTTTCATCTCAAATTCATAAGCTCCGAGGTCACTGAAAAGCTTGTCAGTTGACAATGTTCTTATATCTCTGCTATCTCTCATAGCAGTAACCTTCATATCCCACATTGGTGGCAGACCTCTCAAGACTTTGAGAGAGGTTTCCTTTTGGGAGAGAACTTTCCCTAGGTCAGAGACCTCTGCTGTGATTTTCAAGAATCTAGACTCCATCTCATGGATAGATTCATTTGGCAGCATTTTGAAGTCTTCAAACTTTTTGAGGGCAATGGTTAGCTTGTTGTCCCTTTCTTGCTCATCTCCTGCCCAATTTTGGTTAGTTCATCCCAGACATCTTTGGCAGTTTCACATTTCCTTATTCTAGGAAATATGGACTCATCTACTGCTTTGAAGAGAATGTCTCTGACAACATTGTCAAGATTGTTTCTCTTCCTATCTTCAGTTGTCCATTCCATTTTTGGTTTAAGAATGTATACATCATCAGTTCCTTCTGTGGTTCGGGATGTGATGACCTTCATAATTTTGATAGGTCCATCAGTGATTACTTCCAGCATTACATCATGCAAAGCACTGAGATGTGCTTTCATCCTGATTTTCCAGTCATCAAACTTGTCTAAATTGAACAAGAGATTTTTGGAAAGTTGATTGTCCATTTCTAGAAAGTTTTGGGAGACCAGTGGATTTGGATCTTTAGCTCAAAAGTAGTCAGAAACTGACTCTAGGAACACACTGCTCTGATACCACTTGATGGTCCCGGATAGAGGTAAAAGTCTAGAGGGGGGGGGGGTGAATAGACTTTTAAAGCTTTTTTTTTAACTTTAAAAACCTTTCCCTACTAGATGAGTTGATCTATAATCTTTTGGGAGATTAATGGATGCACAGCGGAAGTCTTTTAACCTCTGGATACTCAGTGTGAGACAACTTTCTAGTTTGAGTGATGTTTAAACTGTTTTATAGTAAGCAGTAGGCTTGGCAGTTGACTGGATAGCAGGGTACTGCTGAGACAACTGCTGAGAATGTATTTGGCTTGTGATGAAATTGAAAACGTAATATTCCTTGGAGTGATGATAGCATGAATACTCAATTGAGTATGAGTTAGGAGTTTTACTGAAGCAGTAGGCTCAGCAGTTGAGTGATCATGAGAGTACTGTTGAGGCTCCTGCTGAGTTACAGAGAGTAGTTTAGACAGGCTTCTTAACAATGATGTTACTGAATTCAAAGGAGATACTTCTGCATGAGCTGAGGACTCAGCAGGTAGGTGGAGACCAGTGTACCGCGGAGGCAACTGCTAAACTTGAAAGGTTCTTGAGGAAAGATTGTCTCAAGGAGAGTGAGTAATTAAGCAGCAGGATAAGCAGTAGGGTCAGTTAAGACTACTGCTTAGGATGTTGCTGGCAAACTACAATCCTTTTGTGAGAAGTGTTTGGTGTATGCTTTGTTAATTTGAACGTAAATCAACACACGGTATATCCTGGTTAAGAGGTGGTGTAACCCTCCTACATCCAGTCTCATTCTCTTTCAAATGGATTTTCACTAAAGTATTCAACCCAATACACTTATTGCCAATCTAGCCTTTACAACTCTTAGGCCTAGATTGAAGGTGTTTCACAGTGAGTACGACACCACTCAAGGTTACTCAATCCTTTAGATTTTCTCAATTGATCCAGTGGGGATCAAAGAGTACTCTATCTATCTAACTACACTTTAGGAAATGAACAACTGTTCTCCTAAGTGTTTTACAACAGTTTGTAACAAGAAAGTTCTAACCTCCAACTAGAAACTAAACTTCTAGGATTTTGCAATGAATGCTTGTAGCTTGGAAGTTTAGTGAAGCATGAGTCTAAGCAGAGAGCAAAGTTAAACGGGCACTTTCTCTTTTGCTGGATATCTCTTGAATGCTTAAAGTGATTACTCTACTTAGAAGACTCAAAAACTTGGTTTTAGACCTCATGCTTCTGCCTTCTTTTATAGGCATCTCCAGTTGATTAATCTCCTCCGTTGGTTGAGAGGATTTAATCCTAGTCACAGAAAGAAGTGTACTCTTGTCTTCTTGCGTTGGAGCTGATATGGAAATTTCTTTTGTCTTCACTGATTAGCCGCTGAAAGATCACTTCAAGTCTATATGGAGAGATTTCAACATGTTCAGGGACCCATGTACAATCCTGGCATTAAATGGCTATCAATTCTGTCTTCAGCCGTATGCCATATTTTACTTAGCTTAATCTTGCGTGTGAATTTTAACAGATTGTATCAAATAAAATATGTACTGGAAGGATCTTTTAAATATCCTTTAAGGTAAATACAAGTTTACCTTATTGCATTTTTAAATTTCCAGTAAAAATTATTTGATACATTTGTTGTACACTATAATTATGTCACTCTTTTGATTATCTATGTATTAAGTAAAGTTATACTGGTAGGATTTGAATATCCTTTTCAAGATAACAAAAGTTACCTTATTGCATTTTAAGTTTCCAGTATAATTTATTTAATACATAAATTATGCACTTTATTTGTTTATGTTGATTTATGGTCATGATTTATCAGGTAATGCGAGTGTGGATCATTTGGGAATTTAGTATAGTGGCATCATCAAAATCTATCAAAATTGGGTATTAACAAATACAATGTAGAAAAAACAATACAAAAAGAATGGGGGGACTAGACCTTATCCAATCACACACCAAACACTAATTTTTATTAATTTTAATATTTATTGTATTCACTTAAACATTGTGTCACTCACGTATTGTACTCATTTTTTAGAATAGTTTGATGTCAATTAGTTTTTAATAATATATTCTTATGGTATCAACTTATTGTACTCTTATTTTTCAAAATGTAGAATAATCCAACAAAGTTATTATATTTATTCTAATATTTGATCAGATCATGGATAAAAATATATGCACCAACTATCCTTACCCGTGCGTATGCACGGGTACTATACTAGTTTGTTTGAAATTTGACATTGGGGTAGAGTTGGTTTTAGTGTTTTACATAATGTAAAACATGTTCCATATATGTGACATCTCCGCGGGCTTACTTGATGATGATGGTTACGACAACAACTTTGGTAACCGAGGAGAATGCCTTTTAAATCTGATCTTGTCTGTTTAAGTCCGATCTGATCTAAATTGGTGTAACTATTTTACAACGATGGAGTCTCATCTAGTAGGATCTAATAGGTTTTGGTATGGTACGGTTGCCTGAGACCAAAAACTTGAGATAACCACGACATGGACATCGATGGCGGAAAATGAAAAGAACAGAATGGCAGCAGATAATTACTATTCCAAGGATTTCGAGTGGGAGGAGCTCAAGCACGACGTTGAGAACGATCCGTCTCTTCTCTATCACTGGGTGCCTTACGCTAACCCCACCATTGGAGCCCAGGATCTTGACGCTGCTGCTTTTTGTCACTCCTCTTCTTTGCCGAAAGAAGATTCTGAAGCTTGGAATAAGTTCCATACCCGTCACTCCACAGGAAGATTTTTTAAGGTGTCCAAGCTTTTATATAATTGTATCCTGGATTCCTGTTCCATCTGTGTCAATATGTAAAATTTTAGAGTTGGGGTTGAACTTCCTTTCTAGATGTTGTGGCGCCTGATTTGAAATGGGTAGTCTCTAATTTGCATTGTTTTTTCAGTTATCTTCAATTTAGAAAAGATGGAAGGATAATGCAAAAGGCCTGTGAAGAACAAGTAACAGTACTACAGTAGTGCAGTACTTAACAAGTTGTTTTTAGTGAGACCTAGTTTGGTGGCTAAGAAGCTGTTCCGTTCACCTGATCTGAATGTTTCTGATCTGAATTTTTTAAGTTCTGATCTGATCTGATCTGAATTTTTCTGATCTGATCTGATCTGATCTGAATTTTTCTGATCTGATCTGATCTGAATCTTTCTGATCTGATCTGAACGTTGCTGATCTGATCTGATCTGAATGTTTCTGATCTGATCTGAATTCTTCTGATCTGAATCTTTCTGATCTGATTTGAATATTTCTATAATTGTAATTATAATTATAATTATTAGATTTATAATTGTAATTAAAAATATAACTTAAATAAAATTACAATAATAATCATAATTATAAAAAAATAATAATTAAAATTAAATTTAAAATTATAATAATTATACCAATTACACTAATTATAAATACAGATACAATTGTAAATGTAATTATATTTTTAATTATGATTAGTTTTATAATTATTTTTTTTGTAATTATAATTATAATATTTATCTCTGTAATTGTAATTATATCTATAATTACTAATTTAAATATATAATTACTCCGAAGTAATAATAATTACAAAAATAACAACAAGAACAACAATCATATTAATAATAATGATGATTATAATTATAATTACATTGTAAATCATAATGATAATTATAATTATAATTATATTATATTATATTATATTATATTATATTATATTATATTATATTATATTATATTATATTATATTATATTATATTATATTATATTATATTATATTATATTATATTATATTATATTATATTATATTATATTATATTATATTATACTATACTATACTATATTATACTATACTATACTATACTATACTATACTATACTATACTATACTATACTATACTATACTATACTATACTATACTATACTATACTATACTATACTATACTATACTATACTATACTATACTATACTATACTATACTATACTATACTATACTATACTATACTATACTATACTATACTATACTATACTATACTATACTATACTATACTATACTATACTATACTATACTATACTATATTATATTATTGTAATATAATAATAATTTTATATTATTAACATTATTATTATATTATTATTAATAATATTATTATATTAATATATTAATATTATTAACAATAACTATAATATAATAATCATAATTAATATAATAATAAAAGTGATAAATCATGTTTGAATTTTTTGATCTGATCTGATCTGAATGTTTCAGATCTGATCTGAATGTTTCTGATTTGATCTGATCTGGTCTGAATCTTTCTGATCTGATCTGAATGTTGCTGATCTGATCTGAATCTTTCTGATCTGATCTGAATGTTTCTGATCTGATCTGATCTGAATCTTTCTGATCTGAATCTTTCTGATCTGATCTGATCTAATCTGAATCTTTCTGATCTGATCTGATCTGATCTGAATAAAATAAGATTAAGGAATAAGTAATAAGATTAAGACGAACGGAACAGCTTCTAAATTGTCTGAATTTGAAGTGAATGTAGCCACAATGACTGAGTTTGCTGAATGAGCTTAGTTATCAAAACATGCATTTGATAGATTGAGTGAAATTCTCATTTGCATTTAGTTCAAGACATTAGTTAAAAAGTTTATAATTATCTTATATTACCCGCTTATTTAGCTTATACATTAAATTAGTTAGTTGATGTTCTGTGAAAAAAATAATGGATGTAACTGATAAAAATTGAAAAAAAAACAGGGGCTACCACACTTACACTTACGTTCAATGCATATTCTAGCACTTTGAACTTTGTTCAGACAATTTGAAGAAAAATGCTTCACTTGGATCATTTGTGTTTTGAGATAAGTGGAGAAATCCTTAAATATGAGTTTTGCTTGTTGTGTCCCTTCAGCTATGGCTTACAACTGCAGTTCTATCTTAAAAACATATAACTGCTTAATTTTTACTGTACACGGGTTTGGCATTTCAACCACTTAATTTTATTTTTGTTGGAATTACCCCCCTTGAAACTCTGTCTTTGCTTCAGTAATTACCACTTGATCCAAGAACTTCCGATGGCTACATTTTTACTATTTGGCAGTACTTTTTCTTAAACTATGTTCTTTTGTTTTAGCTTAAAGTTTATTCTCAATGCAGGAGAGGCGCTATTTGCTCAAAGAATTTCCTGAGTTAGCCTCTTGCAATAAGTACTCTATAGGCTTGGAGGTGGGGTGTGGGAATGGCAGCACTGTTCTCCCAATTTTACGGTAGTACAAAAGCTTTAGTTTAATTTAAAATTTGTTGTGCCCTGATGCTAGAAGGTTCCATTTGATTGTGGAAAAAGAACTTTTCTTGGAGAATGTTTTCCGCGTAATTTTTTTCTCAGAAATAAGTTTTTCTTATATACTACGTATGATATAATGCTTTACCGACACAAATAGAAACCATGAAACTGTTTTACGAAGCAGGAAATAATTCCCAGCAAACTTCAATTTCATTTTCATTTTCATTTGCCCCAATGCCGCAAAACTCCCACCTACGGTGAGGTAAGGGGGGTCGGATGTACGCAGTCTTACCCCTGTACTAAAGCATAGAGAGACTATTTCCGGATGAACCATAGTGAAAATCGCGTCCAGAATTGGACTATCTGCTACTTCATAACAAAGAAGCGCAGACAGTTTAGTGAGCCATTTTGATGTATTCCATCATATTCTCAAGCCAAAAAATAATGAATCTTTGGCTCCCAGAAAACTTCAATTAATGTAGAAAAAATTCTGCATTGCCAAACATGGGCAAATTCAGGGAACATTTTCCAGGGAAAAAAATTCTTGGAAACAAACACACCCTATATTTATAAAATAATGATCGAGTGTTTGGCTGTTTGACCATACAGTGTAATGAGACATTTCAAGCGCTATGCATTTTGTACCTGTACCTATTGAGCTGTGAATGATATGTTTCTCTGAAACCTTAGTGACATAATGCAGTGGAAACGAGAGCATATTTATTTTTGCATGTGACAGTAGCTGTGAAGCTGTTGAAAGGACTAAAGAAAATATCAATGCTGCTAATTTGGCATCAGCCAAACATCGGTTCAACCTGTTCCAATGTGATTTTTCTTCAAGCAATTTTCCTCAGTGGCTGATCTGTAATTCTTGCCGGGAAAATTCCATATCCAAACGATGTGATTGGCCTTCAGGTTCTTCTTTTGGATCATTTGGAAAAATGTGCATGGGTTATTATGAATTATTCTCTTTTTCATAATAACTGTTGTTTGGTTGAAACATTTTATGTCACAATATCTGGCATTTTATAAACCCAAGAGAGCATTTGGTGCCAGTTTTAATTTTTATCCTTTTTCGTTTTGATTCTCAATTAACGTTAAGTCTAATAGTTCCAAGAGGCTATTAGTTAGGGGTAATTCAGGTATAGTCCTACAGAGTACGTTTTTTGCAATATTCTTTGATATCTAAGGTGGTTCTGAAAAACATAAGATATTTTTGAAAGGATAGGAGTATTTCATTTGTGTTATAAACATGCTCCATTGAGAGTGTTTTGGTAAGGGGTTTTCCTGGGGAGATTTTTAAAGGGTTTAGTGTATATATCTGTAAAAAGAATGTTTCTGAATATGGATAAAAGGTTATTGAAGTGTATATGATCACATATGAGATCTCAACTTCTCAAGTATATATCAAGATTAAGACTAACCCTCCTAAATTTCCCTTCCAAACACCCCAAAACTGTCAATCCAAGCATACCTTAATTTTAAAAGCAGGGGCCCATAATCATTTTTACATTTTTTCTTGTGCAGATTCAAATAGTGACAGCAAGAGATTTTCCCCAGATCCGCAGTGCTTCGTGGGAAATTCGTGTTGCATTGGTGGTGTAGATTTTCTTACTTTAGTATGTGCAATTTCAGTTTACATTTCAAATAAGAGAGGATTTGGATGGAAGGGCTTAGTCTATAACTTGATGAATGGAATATTTCTAGAAACAAATAAAAGATATTTACAATGCTATATACGATTGCATATTATGTTAATCTTTCAACTCATTACAATACTAAATAAATATCAAGATATAGGCTAACATATCCAAATAATTCCCCTCCAAAACCCTCCATTTAAACAGACCTTAATGGAAGTGCAAGTTAATTGATTATTTCAATCTACATGCTAACATGCAGATATTTACTTTATCGGCCCTGCCATTACATAGGATGCAAATAGCAATCCGTGAGTGTTTTTATGCTCTGAGGCCGGGAGGGTTGCTGTTATTCAGGGATTATGGTAAGGGGTTTTTACTTGGATATTACTAATTTTGAACCAATTACCCAAAAAGTGACCACTTTTAAAAAGGGGCAAAAAAGTGATCAAGGTCATATATGTGCAATTAGAAAGCATGATGTAACTGCAAAAATTTTATGTCACTATGTGTTCGTTTTTTTGTAACTACAGCTATCACCCATGTCACTACAACCACCGCCCGTGTCACTGTAGCCACCGCTCGGGTCACTGTAGCCACCGCCCGTGTCACTGTAGCCACCACCCGTGTCACTGTAGCCACCGTCTGTGTCACTATAGCCACCGTCCGTGTCACTGTAGCCACTGCCCGTGTCACTTTAGCCACCGCCCGTGTCACTGCGGCCACCGCCCATGTCACTGCTACCACCGCCCGTGTCACTGTGATGTCGCCGCCACAGTGATGCCGTCATAGTGACACAGCCACCAAAACCGCCGGATTACCGCCACCGCACCGTTTCATCCAGTGACAACCGCCTAGCCCCACCAGTCACAGCCCCCGCTTCACCCCCACCTGCACCCTCCCCAGCTAGCACCAGCCCCTCCCCTCCCCTGTCACAACCCCATAATCAGCACCCTTCACAGTGGCAACACATACCAGATCCCCACCCCTGACCTGCCCCCAACCTCCCCTCTCCAGCCTCGATCTAGCCCCAATCAGCCAAACCACGACCACCATTTCTCCCGCTCAAGCCCCAACCTACACACCAGACCCCCACCCAGTCCCCAGCAGTCCAGCCCCCTACTCCCCAGCCCCCTCCCTTGTCCCACCCCCTTTCATTCCCTCAGGCCCCTTTCCAACCACCATGATAGCGGATCCGGGACCCGCTGCACCAAACCGGAGTCGACATCACCGAGATTGGCGGATCCAAAACCGGCGGCCCCAAATCGAGTCATCATTCAATGAAAAAGGCGGATCTGGCACCGGTGGTCCAAAATCGAACTCCGGCGGCCCCTATACCCCATCGACCGGACAGAAGGAGAAGAAATAGAAAATCCGGCGTGGAGTATGGGAGGGAGAGAGCGGGGGAACGAACAACTGCTATGGTGGAGAGATCGACGACGTAGATGAGGTCAATGGAGGTTGGCGGAGGTCGGTTGCATAACTGATGGATGAGAGAAGCTCTGCGCAATTGCTATGGATAGGAGAGAGAAGAACGGCTATGGGTCTATTGTGGCGAACGTGAAAGGCTTTTGAAATTAATTTGGATCACATTTTTGCCTTTTTTTAAATCACTCATAATTTTGTCTACTAAAACTCCAGCACTAATATATGGGCCATTCTTTCTTATGGTAATTGCTTGACATATTGAAGAATAAATTCTTTCTAAGCGTCTGTTTGGAACTAGGAAAATACTAGGGATAAAAATAGGAAGAAACACGTGCAGGAAAAGTGGAAGGGCAGAAATGTTAGGGAACATAAAAGACAGTCGTAGAAGCTCTAAATTTATTTAGATACTTGATACTCATTATATTTATTTGTGTGTATTATACGGAGTATAAAGATTTAAAAAATTGTAATATACGGAGTATGTCAAAAAATAAAAGCTAATCCTTTATCATTTTGTTTGCATTTTCTAAGACAAAAACAAACATAATAAAAAGAACTTTTCTTGACATTTTATCTCCCCACCATTATCCCTGACCGAAACTATCAGTTTGTTAGTTTTCCTGGATAATCTGAAGAACTTGGAAGTGCTATGAATACAGGCCTCTATGATATGACCATGCTTCGGTTTGAGCAAGAACAAAGAGTAGGATTCAGGGAATATTTACGGTCTGATGGAACACGGTCTTATTTCTTCTGTCTGGACAGTGTCAGGGATTTATTTTGCAGTGTAGGCTTCATCAAGGTAAAACTTTATTGACTTGAATACTCAATAGAAAATTTGCATTAATGAGTTACATTGTTAGTAATCATATACTACGTATAAAAATAGTTGGTTCTGCACCACCCAATGAATATGTCAATATACAAATGTGATCTTTTCATTTCACCTTAGATGTTTCAAATTTTGGCAGATTTGCTTTGTACATGTGATTAGTTACTCCCTATCACAATATTCGTTATACTCTGTCATAATTATACTCTCTAAGCAGTATCTCTGTGGTATTACAATTTTTTAATTAGTGACTTTTTTTGCAAGTTCCCTATTAGTAATTTAGTATTTTACCCTTGCATTTAAGTGAATATAGACCGTACATCCCACTGTAATGAATTCTGTCACAAACTTTACCATCTCTTTATTTTCATGTCACATCCGTTTTCTTTTAATAACCTTACTCCAAACTTGATTTTGTTAAATTGAGAAATGCGAGAAGCATTTTAAGCATAAAAAGAAAAGTTAGTTTTTTTAATTTTCTTTTAGATGTTTAAAATTTATTTAATAAATTTATCATGTTACAACTAAGGTGCCTTGAAGAAAGTGAAATGTTGAGTGCAAATTAATCATGTTATTTAATAAATTTATCATGTTATTTAAGCAGTGTTTGCAGTTGCTTAAAAAAAGTGCTTTTCAGCTTTTGGCTTTAAAAAAGCTAAAAAGAGTGTTTTCAAATGACAGCTTCTGCTTAAATTAATCACTTAAAAGCTAAAAGCTGGAAGCAGGTGGAAGGGTGCTTTAAACTGCTTTTCACTTTTTCTATTACACAAAAAGTACTTATTTTACCAAACACTACCAACTTTTACTTTTTCAGAATCACTTTTTTCTCAAACACTACCAACTTTTACTATTAATCACTTTTCCCAAAATCACTTTAAAAAATCACTTTTTTAAAGTTGAAGCAATTGCAAACACTCCCTTAATAAATTTATCATGTTTTAAGGGAGGAGTAAGGTTTTAAAAGAAAGTGAAATGAGGAGTGCAAATTAATAAATAATAGTAGGTCGAGTTTATGAGGGAATTTGCTAAATTTGGATGCGTTGCTAAATTTTCAAACTTTAACTGACGACAATAAACGTGAACTGTGCAATTCACTTTTAACTCTTATTTTGAGCGAAAAAAAATAACCGGGTGTTAATCTGTACAGATTGAGCTCGAATATTGTTGTGTTAAGACACTGAATCGACGGAATGGTAAGACCATGAAGAGAGTGTGGGTTCATGGGAAGTTTCAAAGGCCATAATTCGGATTCTTATTCTGATGCACTTCAGCCATCAATGTTGTAGTAAAACTGAAGTTGCATGGTCTAAGAAGGCAATAAGGCTAGGTGAATATTTACTTCTTCCTAGGCCCTAGCTGCGTCCCACAAATAACTTCTCTTTTAACTTGGTACGAGAAGTTATTGTGTGAACTGTGAACGGAAATTTTGCAAAGAGAAATTAAGTCAACCATATATACTGGAGTATATTCTACTGTGTATATTGAGCCGGACAAATAAAGGATGGCAAAGAGATCTGAATTTTTACCATTCGTTACAAATGTATTTCAAGAACGTCTCTGTAGCCCTATTTTGTTAAGAAGGTGATACTAATATTAGCACCACCCTTCCATAGCTTTAGATAAGCAATACTTAATCTGTTAATCAGTTACAGTTAGCCCATTTTTTGTTTGGGTTGCATTTTTTTTTCTAACCTGAGCATTTTTGTGTGTAATCCCAACATCCTAGCAGACAAGCCCAGCATTGTATTTTTACTCCACTTTTGCTTAACCAGAATATGGAAGAAATTAGAATGGGAAAACTGTCAAATAGGTCCTCGAACTTTCATAAAAAGGTCAATTAGGTCCTTCTATAGGAGGTTCTGTCCGGCCGTCGCGATTTGGGGCAGTTCCTGGTGGAATTTTTTGATGAAATTGTTTGAGCATCTTATTCAGCAAGTCTAGTTTACGCATAACAAATTTCAGCTAAAAATTCAATCGAGAACACATTCAAATTATTTTGTTTTTAATATGCTATATTGTATGAACTATTAAGGTTTTAAAACTGCTCAAAGTAGGATGAAAATACAAAAGAAATCTAAAAAGTGCTTTCCAGACAGGACTTCTTTAATCCTAACTAGGTGTACATGAGTCATATTTTTGAATGTAAATAATGACATTCTTATTGAAGATTTTTTCTTTAGAGTTTTAGTTATGTTCTTGCATTTATATTCAATATTTGAATAGATTTTAATACCTATTTGTATTTATTTTATTTTGTATCAGATAAAAAATCTTACTCAAATGGTGTTTTTTGGTATGCTCACGCACTGACGCACCCAACGCATTATACACATCTTTGCCACAATCATCTTTTGAATATGACATTGTTTTACTTCTCAACATTATAGAATGTAATCTTCGGTCTAGTCATCATAAAATTTACCCGTCATGGGTCATCCGAGAAATCATCTCTCTGTACTTTAGTACTGGGGTGAGGTTGCGCATACCTGATCCCCTTACCCTACTATAGGTGGAAGCCTTTGCGGCACTGAGGTAATATTGTTGTTGTTGTCTTTGCCCCGAAAATATAATTTCTTTTTCATCAGATTTAACAATGAAGAACAAAACTCTAGACATCAAGGACTGTAAATGAATTCATTGATGACTATTTGAATTCAAAAAACTCAAATAAGAATACAAATAAGAATAGCAATTTAGATTCGAATAATTACCAAGTGTAAACATGATTATTGATGTACGATTTCTAGAATAATATACTTATAATAGGAATACAAATAAGAATAGTATTTGCGACTTGAATATTTAGCAAATATGAATATTGAAATATTGGATTCGAAGAATAATACATATAACAATAAGAACAAGAAATAATAATATAATAATAAAAGTAATATAAGTAATAACATCAAGGCACATTACAAGTAACAGTACTAACAATAATACATATAGATGTTAGATTATTAATTAATTAGTTGTGAGGCTGTTTGGATAACAGTTGCTTGCCCCAAAATGCTATTTTTTTTTCAAGTTCAACTCATATATAATTTGCACTACTAAATATAAATATAAACTTATAATACATTCTAAAACCTATCATTCCATTTTTGGTTTATTGCTTCTCATATTTTAGTAATCTAGTCATTATTTCTAATTGGTTTACAGTCCATACGTTTCTTACTCTAGATTTCTAACATATTTTCATGCATAACACCTATTGGATACTTTAAAAAAAAAACACCTATTGAATGTCATCTTTGAAAAAAATCCACTAAAAACAAGAAAAAAATGTGATCCTTCATTAGGGCCGGCCCAAGGAAGAGGCAAGCAGTTCCATCGCACAGGGCTCAATAAATCGAAGGCCCAAAAAAATAAAAAGTTAGTAGTAGGATTAAGCGGTTAAGCGACAAAGCGTACAAAGCGGTTAAGCAACGGCGGCAAGCAAGTCTGCATCGCCGACCTCTCAGGGCCAGTCGACCGCCGTCTAGGGACTAGGTCCGCCAGCCGCCACCGAAGTCCGCACCAGCCACCAGTGCAGCAAGAGTACTCTACTGTCTACGGCCTCTGCTCACTGCCCCTGAAGCTGTGAAGCAGGTAAGCTTATCTATTTTAATTTCTAAACGTAGTATAATATTATTTTTTTTAAATTTTTTGGAGTATTGTTTATTAATCTTTTTCATTATTATGTGATATGGTAATTGAGTTGCTGATTTTAATTACTTATAATGGCCATTAGGGCTTAGGCCTACTAATCTATGATGAAATTTAACAAATTAGGTTGTTATTTTTTATTTTGTGTAATTAATTGATGAATGTATTAAACTATTTATATTTAATAAATTGGTAGTATAAGTATGTTATTACTTACTACATATTACTTTTTTGGTTGTCGGTTTAAAGACATTAAATCAAAATTTAATTAATTTTTAACTTAAATTTGTAAACATGTACAAGATTATCATAATTGTTTTTGTTCTATTTCTACTTTTGAAAGGAAGGCTCAAATTTTGTTGTTCCACAAAGTCTCTATTTTCTTAGGATCGGCCCTCCTACAATACTTGAATATTCTAATTATTCAATATTTAATTAATCATATATACGGTATTTATATACTATGTATAATATACTATCGTATAATATAATTATGAAAAGTATAATTATGAAACAATAAATAATGATATATTCAGTGGCGGACACAGGGGGTGACAAAGGGGGGCTGCTGCCCCTCGAAAAAAAAATTCTAGGTATATTTACCCCTAAATTTTAATATATATATATATTTGTATGTATATTTTTGTACTGCCGCCCCTCCTACCAGAAATTCCTGCGTCCGCCGCTGGATATATTCAAATATGAAAATATTCAAATCGGATATTCGAATATTTGAACCAATTTAATGTGAATGTGTTTTTAAATTCAAATTTTAATTGAATACAAATTAAATGGAATAGAAATTTAATGTGAATGAGATATTTGTTCCTTTACAAACCTAGATGGAGGTAGGGGTGATTTGGTATGGTGTACCGGATATTTTATCATACCTTTACCGTACCGAAAGTTTCGGTATACAAAAATTACACACCGTTATCTTACCAAAATTACGGTATACCGTGTTTCGGTGTTACTAGCGACATACTTAATCCATTATTAAAAAATTAAAACATATAAATAATAACCTATTCATGTCCTATTCAATATTATTAGTATATTTAAGCAAATAAATGTGCCACATATCAAAAATAACACATTCTCTTGAAAATTACTTAAGCAATAGAGATACAATTAAATCAATAGTGGTCTCTAATTAGAAATAAAAATTAATCAAACAACATGTATATAAAATCTTTTATCCCTAAGATAATGTTGTGTAACTAGTCATTTTTATACTTTTAAAGAATTTATTTGAATAGAAATTTCAGTATAATGGTATATCGGTATACCTTTTATTTTCAAAATATATACCGATACCATACCGAAGTAATTCGGTACGGTACCATACCGTACCGAAAATGTAGATATACCTAAATTTTTGGTAAATTCGGATTTTTTCGATATGGTAAATGTGGTATACCTAAGTTTAGTATTTTTCTCAAGCGGCTCTGCTCGGCGCGCCACCAAACTTGCTCTGGGCACCATATTTTCGTCAAAGTTGGACAAGTATGTCCTTAGTCACGCAGTCCGCTACTTCTAAAGGTGCTATGCACACCACTTACTTTTCCTTATTAATTAAAGTCAGTAACATATGTGGAGTACGTAATTACGGAGCTAGGCGATCCATTCATTCTTCCTATTGATGTTTGTAATGGGCCTTATTGTTTCTTTAAATAAAAATAGGTCTTCATATTTCCTAAAATTGTTGTGTCACGTATTTCTAAAAATAACGTAACTATCATAAAAATTACTCAATTTCCTAATGTAATTAAGATTACACTTTCCAACTACCATCAAAGAAGTACTAAATAAATATTTGAAATAGGGGTCGGCACGGTCCCTCGGCCCGGATTATTGATAAATTTTCAAAAATCATCAGTTCTATTTAACGGGTAGGTTTGGTCCGGGTATATTGATAGGCTCGTTCCGTTCCTATCTTTCACTCATATTTTGGGTGTTAATCGTCTAATTTTTATAATTAATCGGGTGACTATTGGGGGTTTTGAATGAAAATTTGTTATTTTTCGGTCCCGATGGCATTCATTTCCAGTTTAGTAGTTTTTTCACACAATTTGATATTTTTGGAGTAATTTGATTGTAAAATTGCATATTATTAGCGGGTGTAGTGAGTTGTGATTTTACAGACTGAAGTTTGCGGTGAATTATTTGGGCTAGATCATTTGAGTGTTGTATTAAAAGTTAAGTGCAGCCAAAAAAGAAAAGAGAAAAAAAGAACAAACAGCCCAAAGAAAAAAAGCTGCAGCAGTTTCTTCATCCACTTTAGCAGCCCAAAAGAAAAAGATAAACGGATCAGCTGGGGTTTTTCCCGTGGAACGAGCAGCAGCACGAAAGGGGGATCTATTATTTTCTTTCTCTTCAGAATTAGCCAGTAGGAGCTCATATTTTTTTCTCTGTTCGTAGAAAGGCAGCCGCACCAGGTTTTCTTCTCTGTTCATTTTAGTTAGAAGCAGTCGCAGGGAAGGAATCCTTTCTGTTCCTTGTCACTTAGCCACAACAAGTATTTCTTTTCTTCTTTTGGAATTAGCCGTAGCAGCAAGAAAGAACCAATGAGGTTCCTCAACTTCACTTTTCTTCAATTTCTTTCAATTCAATTTAGATTTCCAAGTGATGATTGTAAGTTTCAGCATATTTTACATTACCAATTCTTGAATTTGGATTGATTTCAAGTTTCCTTATCTCCAATTAGTAAATTCAGTTTTCGTCCAATTTAATACTCATAGTTCAGTTTTTATTTCTAGCTGCTTATCATGTTTATTAATATTATTGTGATGTCAGTTTTAAGTATGAGTAGCTAATTCCATATAGGGTTTGGATTGGGGCTAGGGTTCATGGGTTCTTGAAGGTGTGAATTTAGTTTTTGAAATTTAATTAATTTTCTGGAAATTTGTATGGGATTAATTATAATTGTCTATATGAATTTGATCACCTCATATATGAATGTTTGGATTTAATTCAGTTCTTGTCTATGAGAAATTGAGTTAAATTAGCTCGAATCTTATACAAGCAATCTGATCTTAGAAATAAGTTAAGATTGTGATACTTTGATTTGATTCTTGTCTATGAGAACTTATTTCATTTTCTTTCCAGGAATAATTGAAAATTA